AAATAAACTGGAAGAGGTTATGAAGAAAGCCTTTGAAAGATCAACTCCAGTTAGTACAGCAAGAAAGAAATCCCCACCCTGGTGGAATGGGGATCTCAGAGCCCAAAGAGACAAATTAAGGAAAATCTACAATGATTGCTTTAGAACTAAAAACTGGGCGCCTTATAAAAGCGCCCTCAGATCTTATAAAAAGGAGTTGAGAAAATCTAAAACTAAATCCTGGCAATCTTACTGCTCTTCTATAGAGAACTCTAAAGACTCAGCCAGGCTCAGCAAAATCCTATCAAAAGAACACACAAATATCACACTCATTAAGGGAGAAAACGGGGTGTGGACGAACACAGCTAGTGATTCTCTAAACACGTTAGTCAAGTTCCATTTCCCAGGATGTATTCGACATCCACCCACATCAGGGTCAATTGAACCTGGTTCAACTAGCAGTATACTGTTGAACTCGATCGTGAGCAGGGAAAAGATTATTTACGCTATTAACAGCTTCTCTCCCTTCAAATCCCCTGGACCAGATGGCGTAATCCCAGCAATGCTCCAGAGGGTGAAGGGAGAGATAGCACCGTTACTCGTGACTATTTTTAAGGCTACCATTACCTTGTGCTACATTCCTAAAAGCTGGAGAAGGGTAAAAGTCGTGTTCATACCCAAGCCAGGAAGGAAAAACCACGAAACAGCAAAAGATTTTAGACCCCTAAGCCTTACCTCCTTTGTGCTTAAAACAATGGAAAGGCTTCTCGACATTTATATACGATCGCTGTTAGGTGAAGCGACACTCTCAACAGCACAACATGCATACATCAAAGGCAGATCCACTGAATCTGCTTTGCATGAAGTGGTGAGCTTAATAGAAAGATCGTTGCACTTTAAACAATATACTCTGGCGGCATTTCTTGACATCGAGGGCGCATTTAATAACATTGAGGTTGACACCATCATAGAATCTTTGATAGATATTGGTGTTGACGACAGTGTGTGTAGATGGATACGATCGATGCTAGTCAATAGAATCATTCAGGCAACAAATGGGGCTAACTCTATTACACATCATGTGAACAGGGGCACTCCACAGGGCGGAGTGCTCTCACCACTGCTATGGGTGATAGCCCTGAACGGTATATTGCTAGAACTCAATAGAGGGGGAGTCAAAGTTGTGGCGTATGCGGATGATGTTGTAATAGCAGCCACAGGTCCATTCCTCTCTACCGTTAGCGAAATCCTTGAAGGAACCCTGGGAAGACTACACGCCTGGGCTACGAGAAGCAGCCTAAATGTGAACCCAGCGAAGACAGAACTTATACTATTTACAAACAGACACAAACTACCACAATTCAAGCTACCATCGCTGGACGGCAATGCGCTCTCATTGTCCCCCAGCGCAAAGTATCTTGGAGTCGTGCTCGATAACAAACTTAACTGGAAAACCAATATCGAATTCCGTAGACAGAAGGCCTACATAGCATACTACACTTGCAAGAGAATCTTCAGTAGAAACTGGGGACTAAATCCTAAACTTGTGATGTGGATGTATACCGCGATCATAAGACCAATTCTAACATACGGCGCCTTGGTTTGGTGGCCCGGCCTAAGCAGACAATATAATGTCAGCAAGCTAAGAAGCATACAAAGGGCAGCAAGCGCAGGAGTAACAGGCGCACTAAGATCCTGCCCGGCAGAAGCTTTAAACGCCATCCTCAATTTAATTCCTATTGATCTCCACCTGAAAGAAGTGGCTATGAAATCGGCGGTCAGACTCAGAGAGTCGGGCCTTTGGAGGACTAGACACTTCGGACATGGGTTGATCATAAATCAAATGCAACTAAATAGGACGACAGATTATATGGTAGGCAATTTGGACTTCAGCTGTAACGCGCAAGTGCTATTCCCATCCAGAAGGGACTGGAGAAGAGACCGAGTGGCCGACCGAGAAGAGATCTCTCTATACACCGATGGATCCAAGATGGATTGCGGTGTGGGAGCAGGTGTCTACTCCAAGGAACTAGGCGTGGCTCTGTCTCTGCGGTTGGGAAATAATACAAGCATCTTCCAAGCGGAAGTCCTAGGGATCCTAGAAGCCTGCAAAATCCTAGGCAATAGGGTTGGACACAGCAGTAAAGCAACAATATATTCTGACAGCCAGGCGGCGTTATTGGCAATAGCGTCACCGGTTACCAAATCCAAGCTAGTTGGGGAA